TCATCAAGAGGCAAGCCCAGGTCCCAGCGGGCCAGGAGCAGGCTGCCGGCAGAAGGAAGCTGCAGCGGTGAGTTGAATTGTCTTTAAATTGGATTCTGGGGGTTTAGTTGTCAATCATTTCTTGCAGGTCTCTGTCTTTGCTGTCACACATTAAAAAGCCTTTCTCACCCCCAAGATTTTCTTTTTCTCTTTCCTTTTTTTTTAAATTTTTTGATACAAGGTCTCACTCTTGCTCAGGCTAGAAAGATCACAGCTCACTGCAGCCTCAAACCCCTGGGCTCAAGTGATCCTCTCGCCTCAGCCTCTTGAGTAGTTTGGGACTACAGGTACACACCACCATACACTGCTATTTAAAACATTTTTTTTTGTAGAGACAAGGTCTCACTATATTGCCCAGGCTGGTCTTGAACTCCTGGCCTCAAGTCGTCTTTCCTCCTCAGCTTCCTAAAATGTTGGGATTACAGGTGTGAGCCGCCACACCTGGCTTCTCCCCCAGGATTTTCTAAATAGCAATCTGCATTTTCTTCTAAGTATCCTACAGTTTCATGATTTGCATTTACCTTTTAGTTCCTCTGGGATCTATTTGGGCATACGGTATACCGTAGATGTCACCCCCCACCCCTAAATGGTTTATTTTCCTTTATCTACATGACAGTGTGTGCCAAGTGCTGTTCTGAGCACTTGACAAATTATAATTTGTCTAAACCTCACCACATCTCTCAGAGACCCTTGTTAGTGTCTGTCACATGGTATGTACTTAATAAATATTAGCTGTTATTGCTACACGGTTTACAAAGACGTGAAAATGTGAAGGCAGAAAGGGAAAGTGGGTGGCATGCTGCTTCCTTCAGGAAGGCTCTCGGGATTTGCCAGGGACAATACTCACTCCAGAGGCGGCCCCAGCCAGTGACATAGCAGGGGTAGTCGTTGGGGAGCAGGGAGTCCTTCTCTGGCAGGCAGGCCACCTGGATGGTGTCACTCAGCTCCACGTGCTCTGCAAGCTTGATGAGGGCAATGTCGTTGCTGGAATCCAAAGTGGAGAGGGTGAGTGGGCAGGAGGACCCTGGCCCCACAAGTCCGGGTTAAGGGGCTCGGGCTGTGAGTTGGGAGTCAGGCCCAGGGTGCTCAGGGGTCCTGCACAAACTTCCTGACTGCCAGCTGCTTCTTGACCTTCGGGGATGTTGGGCCGAACAATTCACCATCTAACATGATCACCCGCCCTGTTGACGGCTTCTTCTCACATGTCATCACCTTGGGAAAGGGTTAACAGAGGGAGGTGGGGGTGGAAGTGTTCGAAACCACTGCTGGCTGTGTGTCCATTGAAACAGAGGCTATAGCAAGTTGCGAACTCTAATGCCAAAGATGGCACTTGCAGATGCCAGTTTTAATATTTTCATGTTACAGGCATAAAAGCTGGCCGCCCCAGACACACCTGGTTTGATTCCTGGTTCTGCTACAAAGTGGGCTGTGTGACCTGAGACACATTTCTTAACCTCTCTGAGCCTCAGGTCTTTGTCCAGGGCTGTTGTGAGGATTACATAACAGATGGCACAGAAAGTGTCTATTGCAATGTGGGCATACAGTAGGCACTGAATAAAGGTGAGCCCTGGCCCAGCCTCTGGAGAGACACTGTGGGGGGCCTTCCTTGTGCACCTTCCTGGGAGTCTTGGCCAATGAGGGGGATACGAGGGGTATTTGTCTCCAGTTAGCATTTTGCCATTTTGTGTAAGAGATCCATTCGCTGGCTGTCCAGGGTGAGGATGGGGTGTCAGGTGTGGGGTGCGACAGGCTCTGCGGCTCTGTCTTGGGGACCCCTCCTTCCACACTGCCCCCAGCGGCTGTGGGATGGGCAGTTTGTCACTCACAGTACCAGTAAGGAGATCCATTTCTCATGGACATAGATGGTGTCCACATCCACAATCAGGGATCCTTCCTCATCTTCCACCTCCAGGTTGTGCTTTCCCAGGGCCACACGGTAGATCCGGTTGTTGCTGGGCAGAGGAAGGGGACCAGGTCAGGGTGGCCCCTGGTCCTGCCAGCCAGAGGGATAGAGAGGGAGCTTGGGGCTTTGGTGGGACTCATTTGAGGGGAAGAGAGTGTCCCCATTGTCCTTTCCCAGGGTGACGGGGAAGGGCCTAGGACTTGGGGTTAAGGGACTTGGGTTCATGTTGTGAGCTTGCTGCTCCTGGCTGTGTAGCCTCGTGCCTCAGTTCCCTCATCTGTAAGGGGGAGGCAATACTGGAACATACTCCCAGGATGGCTGTGAGAATAAACTCATCCAAGCTTCCACCGCTCTTGCCTGTACAGTTGCAGCATCCACCTAACTGCCCCTCACTTGTACGCTGGCCTACTCCTGTCTATTCCGAACCCAGCAGTGTGGGTTTAAAAATATCTCAGGCCAGGTGCAATGGCTCACGCCTGTAATCCCAGCACTTTGGGAAGCTGAGACCTGAGGCATTGCTTGAGGCCAGGAGTTTGAGACCAGCCTGGGCCACATGGCAAATCCCTATCTGTACAAAAAACAGAAAACTTGTGGTGAGGTTTGGGCTTCTAAGTTAAAAAACAAACAAACAAAACCAAGAAGAAAAATCAGCTGGGAATGCCTGGTGGTGTGTGCTTATAGACCCAGGAAGGGTCTTATATATTCAGGAGGCTGAGGTGGAAGGATCGCTTGAGCTCAGGAAGTCCAGGCTACAGTGAGCCATGAAGGCGCCACTAAATGAGACTGTGTCTCTATCAAAAAAAAAAATTATATATGAAATATATAAAATGAAATATATTGCAATATATATTTTTAATAAACTATATGAAAAATATTTTATGGAAAATATAAAAATATGTCAGCCCACAACTCTCCTTTGCTCAGAAACCCTTCCGAGAGCTCCCTCTTACTCAGGGTCAAAGCCAAGGTCCTGACAGTGACCTGCACTTATTTCCTCTCTAGCTCCCCTCCTCCCACGCTCCTCTAGCGCACGCTGCCCCTGCCACACCGGCTTCCTCGTTACTTCTCAGCCACACCGACAGGTCTCTTCTCCAAGCCTCTGCGTGGCTGTTCCCTCCACCGGGAACACCCCTCCCCTAGACCCATGATTTCCTCCCTCACTTCCTCCAGGCCTTTGCCCAGATAACCCCCTTTTAGCTCTCTGAAATGTCCCAAATATTTGCCAAATATCCCCCTTTCAGCTCTTCGCCTGGCCATCCCTTTAAAAATAGAACCCCTCATTCCGTTTCTCCTCTTCTGACTTTATTTTTTATTTTTTTTGAGATGGAGTCTTGCTCTGTTGCCCAGGCTGGATACATGGGCGCCATCTCGGCTCACTGCAACCTCCGCCTCCTGGGTTCAAGCGATTCTCCTACCTCAGCCTCCCAAGTAGCTGGGATTACAGGTGCCCGCCACCACACATGGCTAATTTTTGTATTTTAAGTAGAGACGGGGTTTTACTCTCTTAGCCAGGCTGGTCTTGAACTCCTGCCACCTACCTCGGCCTCCCAGAGTGCTATGATTACAGGTGTGAACCACTGCACCTGGCCAATACCTTATTATTATTATTTTTTAAAATCACCCGAGATGTAATATCTTGTTTAACTGTCTGCCGCTCTGCCTGCCACAAGAATGTAAGCTTCCCGAGAGTACAGACTTTGTCTTCACTGCTGGTTCCTGGCACACAATAGATGCACGATAAATACTTGACTGAATAAATGAGTTACTGGGTGTGAGTAGCTTCTGTAGCCCAGCGCCTGGAGTGTGGAGAAGCTGCTCAGTAAAAGCAGAGTATCAGGCTCCTGCCCCCGGGTGATGGCCAGGTCTCAGGGTACCATCCCCGCACACCTGATGCAGTGGGCGGCGGTGAGGACGAAGTTGCTGGTGATCAAGGTCCCGCCGCAGGTGTGCCACCACGTGTTGTTCTTGAGGTACTGGAGGGAGATCTGCAGGAGGGTGGGGAGGGCTGTGTGTCAAACCGCGGGTCCCTGGGACCCTCACCCCACCAGCCTCTCTATCTCTACCTCCCAGCCCCACACAGGCTTACCTGCCAGGGCCAGCTGTGGGGCTGGGCAGTCTCTCCTCCCACCACGCGGGCGGATAGGCTGGGCGGGAAGCTGGGCACCCCGCAGCTGGAGGCTGGGGAGACAGGAGGCCAGGAGAGCTGGTGAGTGGGGCTGGCCGCCCACGGGGAAAGGGGTGGGAGGGTGGGCAGGTGGAAGGAGCACAGATTTGGGGCTGGGCAGACACAGAGTTGATACTTTACTGTGTGACGGGGGGAAGTCACCCAGGTTTCTAGGCCTCGTTTTCCCTTTCTGTGAAATGTGAAGAATCACACTAACCCGGTGAGTTTGTCCTGAGGACTGAATCAG